TTTTCAAAGAGGGAGAGGGAGTAGATGTAATTTTAAGAATTTTCAGCTATTATTATTGTATTGTATAAACAGCATATCTGTGGACATGAATAAATCCAACAGATGCACAATGTTGTGAAAGTAAATAATTATCTCTATCTCTCTATTTAGTATAGCCTACACCTTTAGGGTTTTTATGATTGATACTCGAGTGTTCTTTAAGTTCCAATCTCTTTTGAAACACGTAGGAGTCAGAGGTTAGCAGCTTGGGAATTCCCCGATGAATGCTCTGGTCTTCTGCGGAGCCCATAAAGCATATGGCCTTGCAGTCTCCCCGGAGCGCAGGTGTGGGTGTCTGACCATAGCAATGCACAATCATGTAGCCTATTTGATCGGAAACAAAGCATGCAACAGTATAGACACCACGTTAAAACACCACAAATAGGCTATGTAGGTTATGCAGCGGTTTACCCATGCTTTCAGGAAGCTCATGCGAGACAGACAGATGAGTGTGCGATGCTACTAAACCCAGAGATACAGCACTGCAATAAATTGTCTACTGATAATGAAACGCAAACATGTGTTCACATTATTAGCGATCGTTTCGTCTCCTCATTTCCACATCGTATCCTTTCCTATGGAAAACCAGCAATCGCTCTTTGGGGACCCTCCCTGTACCATCCACTGACACACATGCAGAAATATATGAGATGATACAGTAGCCTAGCTACAAGTAATCGATTTAAGCGATCTGGGGAAAACATATTTTTAACATATCAAATGCAAGTGACATGGGCTGTGTGATGAGGAACGATAACTATGATTTTCGTCAATTTGGCGACAGGAAGTCTCGCCAGTGAATTAGCCTACAATACAAAAGTATAACTACACTGAAGGAAGGAGCCGTTTCAATGTACTCTAATAATCGTGACATACTGCAGCTTTTCTTTGAATTAGAGATTACTGCGGACTCTACGGGTGCTGACGGCTTCTCCATAAATTACAGTATTTGCTACACAGCATTATGGCAGAACATGTCCATGGATTAGAGAAAGCCCAATGCTACCAGATGCTGTTGAACCTTTTGTTCGTTATAAAAAACATCCGGAAATGATGAAGGAGAAGCAGTGTCTCTGTGACCAAATATTCACTACTGATCGGTATGTTACTGATTACAGCGTAAACGTGGGCTCTTTTAGGCCATTTCAGCGTTAGACATGTGGATCCATGAGCATCCACGCTGCTGATGCTGAGCAGCGGCCGCAGCGAGAAGCGCATCCTTCAAAATCACCACCAGCGTTGCACATTAAAGAAAAAGGCTTACCTAAAATACATGTTCATTTGTCCAGTTCTTCTCACACAATGTTTTGTAATTCGTCCCGTGTCTCGTGGTGAAAGATACAAATGTGGTGCAAATAATTGTAACGCTAGCGCCCTTCTTCTATGGAGCGAGCCGGGTATATAAACCACTGTGTGAGCACTTAGGTATGGAGGCTGATTGGTGCCACAAAAGTGACTAGCTTGGAACCCAGGAGAAATAGAATAAATGAATGAATGAATAAATGAATAATAGTCAGGCACTATAGAGCAACACAAATTATACTTATCAGCTGAGTTTATATGTATAATATTAAATAAGAAGTGTCCTTGGGCAAGATACTGAACCCCGAATTGCGGCAGGTCAGATCTTTTAAAAAATCAGTAATTGGAATCAGCCAGGAAAATATCACGTATCCTATAAAAAATTAAATTTTGGCTGTATTATTTGTGTCCCCTTCAAAAAGTGCTCATGAAAAATTTTATGTTTATCGTCCCCCCCTACTGTAAAATGAGATTACGTCCATGGCTGTACTTTGTGTTTAGTGCTAATTAGTACATGTTAGCCTGCTACATGGAAACAATGGTGGTGATCAGCATTTAGCTCAAAGCATCGCTATTCAGATCCTTAATTTTAGTTTAAAGTTACAATACGACAGTGTACAAAAATGATATTACTTATAAGTAAAAGTCCTGCATTCACATTAGTATGAAATCTACTTCAATTTGGTATTTGCAGATACTGATTTTACACACAAAACATATGATCAACTAATGAAAAATGATGCATTGTTATAGATTAAAGCAACATTATCAAAATCATTTTGATGATACACTGATTTGTAAAAGGGTGAATGGCGTCTCTGTAATAAAACTTTAACAAAACCTTTCGACAAAAGGACTCTCAAGTACTCTAGCTATAAGAGGAAGCAAGAAGTATAGAATGTACAATGTGAGTCCTTTGGAAGAAGCTAACTCGGTATTCTCAGTTTGTATATCATGGCTGTGAAAAGACAAAAGACGACATTGTCAGAGGAAGAGAGAAAGAGAAAAAGAGAGAGTGTGGGCAAGAGACCGGGTGTCAAGCTGGCCAAGTGATGCAAGATCACTTATAGTAGTGTTACAGATATCTAAGTGTGTTATCAAGTAAGTTTGCAGCCATCAACTCGAGATTTATAGCTAGCGCTGAGTGACCGAGCAACATTTAGTAACCTTTCTACCATAAAATAAGAGCTGGTGGAGAGTGGTGGTGGTGTTTGGCTTTGTTAACAAAGTACTTAACTTGCTAGTTTCTGATAATAAGTAATGCAATCATAACAAATGCACATGTACAGCTGTCCTTACTTTCGACAGTGGCGAATTACATTCTGTACTGTAACTGTACACAAAACACAAAAAATATTTTACATAATGTTGCTTTAAATTATCAGCAATAGATGAAGCAGTTAAAATCAACTGCACCTTGAACAGATGTCAAGTACATTATATTGAGCTGATCAAACTTGCTGTAGTAACATTTTGAATTCAGGACTTTTATGTTTACCTTACCTTTTATGTTTTTAAATTTGGACATAATACCTATATATATATATATATATATGTAATATACTAAATATTGAAGTAGTTTTTGTGTAAACTTATATTTTACACCCATTTAAGAAGTTATATTGTTTACAACATACATATTTTGTCTTCTTATTTACCTTTTTCCTGCTTCTTGTTTTTGGCATTAATCACCCCCTATACATAAGATTTACTGAGTTCATAGGAGATCCCACTGACCAATGGTGTTCAACTGATGTGGCGCTATCAGCTCTGGACCAATTGCTGTGCTGAAGAGTGATGCTGAACTAGCAGTTGACCGACAAGTTACCATTATGACTGATGAGTAGCTTTGTGGCTTGGCCATGACCTTTACAAAGTTCAAAATAGAGGATTCAGATATGTATCACTGGCTGTCAATCATTAATGTTTACTGCATTTACCCCAGTTAAAGGTAAAATTAAAGTTTTTAAATGAAAACCACCACAGTGGAATACTTGTTGCATTTCATATTGGGAGAGGGGGGAATAATGAGCAAACATAAGTAGAATATAAATGTATAAAAAGACGGTAAGGTACGTAAATAAAAGGAATTTTTTTGAGAATGTCCAGTTTAATGGACATTTTTAATTAAATAAATGATTCAGACACATGGGCAGTTTTTGTCAGCAGCATGTAGAAACTGGAGAAGCCTTAGCCACAACTTATGAGTTTATTTATCTTCAGTGTTTGTCAAATTGTGGTATGTACAGCAGATACTGTACAGCTCTGTTCTGTTCAGCCAGATGCTGAATCGCTTTATTCTGTTCTGTCAGATACTGTACAGATCTGTCCTGTTCTGTCAATTTCTGTCATTCATCATTTTTAAAAGGATTGGTAGTGTACAGTCTTACAGTCCAGTCTTGACTCACAATTAACTGTGTAATTTGGTTGTAAATCAGGTACCAATAAAATGGTCAGCACTTCCTACTGGTATTTTAATGTTGGTAGAAAACAAGACTATGGGGAACAAGCGTGTGACAGTGGGGCATTTTAAGGAAAGGAAAATTGGGTTGGAGCTGAAAAACAGTTTTTGGAAAAGTTTTGGAAAAATGTGCTTATAGAAGAACATCTGAAAGATATGGTTTAAATTTACAAAATGTTTACAATGTATTTTGGGGGCAGGAAGCTTGAAGAAAAGAGGGACAAATGTTTGAGTAATGAAGGACTTGTCAGTCATTTATGTGGTACAGCAAGCTGTGACTTTAACAGGTGCTTTAGCTAACAAGCCTGTTATTTGGATTGACTACAGAGTAGGCATTATTTCTATTGTAATGTGTGAAGTACAATAAGAAATGCATTTGCCCTTTGATCATGGTAATATAAAAAAGGGTTTTTTACAGGTGTGTCTTTGGCAGGGAAGCTACACTCACACTTTAGGGATTTGCTGATGTTGTCTACTTCATTGTATGATTTGGAATAGGGACAGATGCTTGTAACTATTTATCCGTGAATTAATAATTATAGGGTGGCACTGTGATGTAGTGGTTAGCACTGTCACCTGTCTGTCTGGGTTCTCTCCAGGTGGTCCAGCTTCCTCCAAAGACTGACAATCTAGGTTAACTGGTGACTCTAAATTGCACTTAGGTGTGAATGTGAGTGTGAGTGGTTGTTCATTTTTTATGTTTCTTGTGATTGACTGGTGACCTGTCCAGGGTGAACCCCGCCTCATGCCAAATGTCAGCTGGGATTGGCTTCAGCCCCCCTCCCCAAGACCCAGCACGGATAAGTGGGTGTAGATAATGGATGGATGGATGGATGTATAAGTATATTTACTGTGAGTTAAAATTGCAAGTGTTTCACTTTTAACACTTGCAACTGCACTCACTCACCCCTAGAGTGTGACATTATATCTCCTACTTCTTGGTCTCATACTATATCTAGATGTATCTAAGAGTGGAGAACTGGACTGGAGAATAAATATCTAAGTGAAGTGGAATCTTTTAGAAGCATTGCGTTATTTGTGTTATTTTAAGGCTAAGGCGGTTTTCTTGAATGAAACCAGATGAAGCTTTCATTAAAGTTATCTATAAAAGTTGGGGTGTGGCTTCAGTGACATAAAAGTTATGGTTCAAAGGTACAGTATTATTCAGTCTGACAGAACGTGGAGAAACAAAGGAGCCATGGCTTCAACTTTGTATGCGGAAGATTTGTCTTGCTCTATTTGTCTGACTATCTTCACTGATCCGGTAATCCTTATCTGCGGCCACTCTTTCTGCAGAGAATGCATTACACTGTCTATGAGTTCACAGCACCAGTGTCCACAGTGCCGGGCACCGGTTCCAACAGAAGGGAAAAATCTTCTAACCAATCACATTTTAAAAAGTCTGTCTGAAAAAGCGAAAGAAGCTGAGAAGCTAAAGAAAGAATATGGAAATGACAAAGAGGTACGTTTGTGATATTTTTTTTATGGGTTTTGTAGTAAAGGCAGTGGTGTTAGACTTTTTAAAGTCTCTTTAATGTCTTAATAATTACAGTGTTACATTATAATTTTTAATTGTTTGATTGATTTCAAAGGTGGCTGAGTGGTTGTGCCCTGAACACGAAGAAAAGCTGAAATTATTCTGCATCACTGAGCAAAGGTTAACTTGTGTCATATGCCGAGATGGGGAGAAGCATGAAGGACACAAGTTTAAACCAATCAAAGAAGCAGCTGCATCTCTGAGACAAGAGCTGGAGACATTTGTGCAACTTGCATCTGATGATATCCATGTGATAGAAAGCCAAGCCAACACACAGAGGGAAGAAATAACAAAAACCAAAGAGAAGTCTCAGCAGCTGGAGACACAAATCTGCAAACAGTTTGAGGAGATGCACCAGTTTCTGAGGAAGAGAGAGGATGAGATTAAGAATGAGCTGAAACACAAAGAGGAAGATGACGTTGCAAAAATGAGTGGGAGCTTAAATGTGATAGAAACAGCTTTGTCTGAGAGCAGAGAACTGCAGGGAAAGGTGACATCAGTTCTAAAAATTGAAGACTCAGGGAGGTTTTTAAAGACCTTGACTGAAGGTAACAACATCGTGGCTGCAAGGAGCTCGTTTAGGCCCAGAGCAAATGATCTCCAAGTGATGAATGATTCTCTCTCTTTTGGGCCTTATGAAAGCCACCTGCAGTTCTTTGTGTGGAAGGAGATGCTTCAGGTGATCCAGCCCAGAGCAGAGCTGCTGTCACTCAGAAATTTTAATAGAAAATTAAATGTGTCTGAAGATCAGCGCAGTTTGTTTGTTTGCCCAACTCGATCAGGTCTCTCATCTGGCTCTTTTAAGTCTAAGCAATTTTTCTTAGGTCTAAATGATCTAACCTCTGCAGAAAGTACCAACCAGTTCACCTCTGGGCAGCATTACTGGGAGATAGATGTTGGACAAAGGAATTATTGGGAACTAGGGGTAAAAATGAATTTCCTGCGATGTGATGGCACAAAATATTTTGTCTGCAGTCAAAATACATCTACAGCTCTAACATTTGCAGCCAGACCTCGAAAAATTGGGATTTACCTGAACTGCTCCTCTAAAGAGCTCTCCTTCTATGACGCAGACAACATGACACACATTCACACTATGAGCTCTAGTGATATGTCCATGCCAGTGTCAGCATATTTTAATGTTGATTACAATGATCAAGTTCATACCCCTCTGACAGTGTGCTGGTACTGAAGTCAGAATTTGAAATGATGTAGAGTACGAAAATATAATTTTATTTCTTGAATGAAATAGAGATAATGAAGTCAAGCGTCTGACTTTAGACTGCAGTGTTTCCTACATTCATTCAAGACAAAAAGCTGACAGTGACAGTTCTTCACTGCATCCGTTTACTGTTTTCTGTTCTGTATCCACTATAAAGTTTGTGTTTATGCAGCAGTAGTTTTGAAAAGGTGACTTGAGAAATGTGTATTCAAGGCAATAATATTTTGATCACAGTTTAGCTCATTACAAATGCTTCAAGTACGCATACTACTGTATGGCTGTAAAGTGTAAAATAATACACCACAATAATGATACAGAAAATAAATGTATTGCAGTGGTGGGGAACTAATAAGAAATTAGGGAAAAGTTGGTCATATCTGGAGAAATGCTTGCAATCCATGTCGCATTGATTCATTCACCTGTACATTTAGGAAAAAAACTATGAAACTTGTGCAGATATGTAGTATCAGCATTCCGAGGACTGAGCATGTGATTTAGTGCTTTGCCAAAAAAGCAATAATAGAAAGCTGTATTGTTCATTGAAATTCTGCTAGTTGTTTTTTTTATCTCTTTAATCTAACTGTGTCTGTATATATTTGTTTATGTTGCTTTTAGTACCCTGCATTAGGTTTGAGGAAGCTATGCTGCACAGTACTGTATTTATCACAAAATGTAATGAGAGTATAGATTGATAAAGGCCACTTAAATATATTTAGTTGTTTGTATTGAAAAAAGCCTGGATTACTGCCAAGATTACATGCATTAAAAAGGAAATGAAGTAGAGTACGGTTGAAGATTGCGTCTGAAGGTCAGAATTTAACAGTTTGGCTCTTTGCATGAGAGTTTTCTGCATTGAAACTCTGTTGGTAGAACTGTGCCAAAAGTACTGTAATTTGGTTGGGAAAGCTGCTAGAGTTTAGATGTTTGGTGGTGGAGGTACCCGGTTATATAATTATATCATCTATTGTGTGTTTAACAACATATTATAACATGGAAATGTGTAAAACAAAAATATAATAAAAATATTATATAAATATATATACAAACATTTCTGTGTTTGTATTAATTTCAAAAACGCAGCAGGCGTCTAATTGAGACCTGCGTTTATTTGTCAAAATTTGAAGCCACACCAGGCCAGTCAAAGGGACAAGCATCTAATTGGGACTAGGCTTTCAAGTGAAGTTTTACAGTATATAAACACTGATGAATATTTATGTCATAGACTGAAAGAATGTTATTTTTTTAAACAGGCACATAGAGGCCTCATTAGAGGTTGAGAAAGTTGCCAATCTTACAGAGCTTTCTTGCAGTACGTGAAGCTTATGGAGATTAGGGGGTTACAGTATGCATTAGTCAAAACAATACTACCATAAATCAAATAGGGATTCATCATAGAATAACATAGACTTCATATACAAGACACATTGATTAAACTCATTTTTCAGTTGGATTTCTCATCAGCTAAAATGCCAGAAAGAAAAAGTAATTTCTGTTCTATCTATAGACAGTTTAGCATACTACTAGCATACCTTCTGCAACTTCCTGCAAATATTACGAAATTTGACTTTTTTACTGTATTCAATGAGAGCTTGTTAAGTTGAAACCTGAAACCATCTTGCAACTCTCACCATTTCCTCGTTAGTATTTTATTAGAGTATGTGAGTATGTAAGTGGTGATATTGGTATCATAAGCAAACGAAATGGAAAAAGAACATGTACAGGTTAAAGTTATTATTATTATTATTTTGTTCAATTTCTATGTCATATTGATATAGAAGTTCACTTTTTCAAAGCTCTTCACGCAGTCAGCACAGCAGCAGTCAATGTGACTAAACTGTGAATCACTTTTAATTTCTTTCATACAACATTAATTCAGTGACAGCATCTTTCAAAATCCTTGAACTATTCACACTCAAACACAACCACCACCAAACCTCTGTGTACTTCCATTACATCCATTATTTGCACATGTTTACGTGTTTACTATTTTCAAAACTGTTACATTTCACCATCTCTTCCAGTCACAGAATGGTTTAACATCCCAATATGGCGTCACATTTTCTTCCATTTTACTCTCCATCCCTCAGCCCCAAGTGTATGACTAAAATGCAAAAATGACCAAATGAAAAGATTATTTTTCAAGTGTATTGCTAGGGAACACCTAAGGTGTTGACTGTAAGTTAGCACAATCCATGCAATAAAGAAATTAGCTCATTTTGTTGCAGTGGAATCTTTGTTTATGATAAATAAATAAAAGATAATAGTGACACTAATTGTAATGCTACCTGTTGTTGGTGACAAAGTGTCACTCTTGGCAGAAAAATGTTGCATTATTGTATTTTGGATGTGAGATGAACTGTTGTGCTGCGCTGCATATCGGTAAGAAAATTGTGTGAAGAGTTGTGAAAAGTTGAACCCAAATACTCATCCGAACAGCTTCCACATCTGACCATACACATACATGTAGTGAAATACATTCTCTGCATTTAACCCATCCCTGCAGGGAGCAGTGGGCAGCCACTGTGCAGCACCCGGGGACCAACTCCAGATTGAATGCAGTGTCTGGTCAATTGCACTGACTGAAGAACCTAACATGTGTTTGATAGTGGGGGAAACCGGAGCACCCGGTGGAAACCCATGCAGACATGGGGAGAACATGCAAACGCCACACAGAAATGCCGGGGCAACCGGATTATGAAATCTACTTCAATTTGGTATTTGCAGATTCAACTGATCAACTAATGAAATATGATGTATTGTTATAGATTAGAGCAACATTATGTAGTATTTTATCTTAAAATAACAGTTCCAAAATAATTTTGATGGTACACTGATTTGTAAAATGGTGAATGGTATCTGTGTAATTGCCACTCCAGGCCCAGAGTGCCTGATATGTAACACTGGAATCCACAATACCTTTACTGCGTAATGCTTAATGACACCATGTCACACAACAACACGACTCTCCAGCAAGCTAGCTATAAGAGGAGGTAATGAAATGTACAATGTGAGTCTTTTGGAAGAAGCTAGCTCTGTATTCTCAGTTTGGATATCATGACAATGGCTGCGAAGAGACAGAAGAAGACGTCAGAGGAAAAGAGAAAGAGAGTCTGAGAAAGAGACCGGGTGGCAAGGTAGCCAACAACGCTACAACAACCAACGCAACAGCACTTACAGTAGTGTTACAGATGTCCAAGTGTGTTATCTAGTAAGTCTTTAGCCATCAACTTGAGATTTATAGCTAGCTGTGAGTGACCGAGCAACATTTTGTTCTTTTTTCTACCATAGAGTGGCGGTGGTATTTGGCTGTGTAAACAAAGTAGTCAACTTGCTAGTTTTTGATTAGAAGTAATGTTATCATAAAACATACACATGTACAGCTGTCCTTATTTACGACCGCTCTGAATTATAATCAGAAATTGTGATAAATTAAGTTCCTGTCAACTAATACTACTGCTACTAAAGTATGTTAGACCGAGGCCTTCTGTGTTAACTATGAGCCTTACTATATACTAAACTATGTTAACAATGCTAAACTACTGAATCTTAGTGTTTCTCTTAATCTCTCTGTGACATTCCTGCTGTGACCTGCTTAGTTGCTCATTTGGCCATCATGCGTTGTCACGTGATATTTCACCACACGTAACGAAACGTAATGACGTCACCGGAAAAAGAAAAGAAAAAAGAAAAATTAATGCTCCAGCTATTACGGTTTTTATTTTAGATCGAATTAAAAACTATAACCGCTAAAAACTAAACCTCTAGCACTACCAAGCATTTTCATGCCGTCTTCCACCCCAAGCAACTTAACTTGATGACGTCATCGCGAGCGGACAATGTGATGGCGTGAAAACAAAAACATCAGCTTTCCACTGCAAAAAGAGTTGCAAGTTGTAGTTTTCATTTTAGATCAATTTCAATATGATCATGCCAACAACAGACCTCCCGCGGCCAGTTTGAGGCCGTTCGTGGGAGGTCTGTTTACAGAGGGTTAAACTATCAGTAATAGATGAAGTAGTTAAAATCAGCTCCACCTTGAACAGACTTCAAGTGCATTTAAATATAGAAACTGATACTTGCTGTAGTAACATTTTGAATTCAGGGATATATTTATATATTTCCACATTTATTTATGTCGACTGTATGTTTGTCTACGTGTAGCACCTTATCACCACAGCAAATTCCTCGTATGTGTAAAGAAGAACTGAAACATTGTTAATGTTATTAGTAACACCTGTTCTGAATACTCGGAATGACTTCTGCAGTGAGTGACACATGGTGGGGTGTGGCTTTTCCACGAAAGTGAAACTGACAGTTCAACATAACACCACAAGTCAGCCTGGCAGAGCAGAGAGAAAAACGTGAGCCATGGCGTCTGCGTTTTACTCAGAAGATTTGACTTGTGCTATTTGTCTGACTATCTTCACCAATCCAGTGAATCTTTCTTGTGGACACTCTTACTGCAGAGAATGCATCACACATGTTCTGAGTTCACAGCCGCAGTGTCCACAGTGTCGGACAGCTGTTCCAGCAGATGCGAAATGTCTTCCAACCAGCCATATATTGAAAAGCCTCGCTGAAAAGGCTAAACAAGCAGAGAAGATCAATAAAGAGCATGGAAATGAGAAAGCAGAGGTATGTTGGTGGTATTCATTATGGAATTTAAGTATTTGTAAAAATGCACCATACACAAAGATTTCATGTCTGAAGATATGAAACATTTAGATTAGCTAGTTACTGGAAGATCTGAAAAAAAAAAACGTGTGTATTGTGTACATATGTATTACTGGAATGTTTTGTAAAATAGTATTATCTTGGCCCAGATGACACATAAATGAAAATAAAAACATATATAGCCTATGTATGTATATGTATGTATAATGTGTAGTGCTGGGCAACGATTAAAATTTTTAATTGTGATTAAATGCATGATTTTCAATTAATCGCAATTAATCTCATTGTTTTGCGCGAAATTGAAAATGAATTCTAAAGTAGTGTATTGCGCACTTTTAATATAAATGTACTGTTTTATACACAAAAGTACAATAACATGTGGTTTGCAAACACTTAAAAAATAAGGTGCTTTTTACCAGCAGTATTCCCTTTACACAGTAGCAATAAAATACTTCTTGTAAATCTCAACTTAAACATTAATGTAATCAAATCAAATATAAAACCAAAGCTATTTAACACCGCCAGGGCATTAGCTTTTATCTAGCTTGTTAAAACAAGCGGGTGCGTTCCCGTGAAACTGTCACGGTTGTGCTCGACTCACACACACACCTGCCTACTGCCGAAGTAGATTTTTCTTAATTTTTTGTTCGCGACACGCAGCACAAATCATTTGAAGAGAGACTAATCCCCTCCTGTTTATGATTTTCCAGAATCTATTAAGCTACTGTTTACTAAATAGTTATCAGGACATCAACAGGAGGGAATTCACATGTCAAGGCCTATCAGGTAAAGTTATGTAGCCTATAATCTTAATTTAAGTTAAATAGGCTACAGCTGTGTAGCCGTTGCCATGGTTACTCTTATAGAGCGCCTGCCGTTTAATCGCAGAGCGCTGTCTTACTTCTCCCACACGTTGCATCCAACGTAGTCTGCTGAAGCCTCAACATCCCACCCTCCTCTGACTCATGGTTTGACTGTATGTGTATTCAGAGCCAGTGAGCAACGGACTTTCAAAATAATAATAATTTAAAAAAATGGGTTAATTAATGCCTTAACACGATAATAATGCGTCGATGTGCCCAGCCCTAGTAATGTATCATGATCATCATCTTTTTGCTGTTTATTTATTATTAATATATCAATCTTTTTTAAGTTCACATTTTTTTTTACAGGTGGCTGAGTTGTGCCCTGAGCATGAAGAAAAGCTGAAACTTTTCTGCATCACAGATCAGCAGTTAGCGTGTATTATATGCAGAGATGGGGAGAAGCATGAAGGACACAAGTTTAAACCAATCAAAGAAGCAGCTGCATCTCTGAGACAAGAGCTGGAGAAGGGGATGGAGAAACAATGTGAAGATATCCTTACTACAGAGAGCCTAGCCAACACACAGAGAGAAGAAATTACCAAAACCAAAGAGAAGTCTCAGCAGCTGGAGACCCAAATCCGCAAACAGTTTGAGGAGATGCACCAGTTTCTGAGGAAGAGAGAAACTGAGATTAAGAATGAGCTGAAACACAAAGAGGAAGATGCTGTTGAGAAAATGAGCAAGACCTTAAACGCTATAGAAACAGCTTTGTCTGAGAGCAGAGAACTGCAGGGGAAGGTCACATCAGTTCTGGAAATTACAGACTCAGACAGGCTCTTAAAGAGCTGGACTGAGGGTAACAGTATGATGACTCCAGAACATTTCTTCAGGCCCAGAGCAAATGATCTCCAAGTGGTGAATGATTCTCTCTCTTTGGGGCCTTATGAAAGCCACCTGCAGTTCGTTGTGTGGAAGGAGATGCTTCAGGTGATCCAGCCCAGAGCAGAGCTGCTGTCACTCAGAAATGATGATCCAGAATTAAATGTGTCTGGCTCTAGTCAGTCAGGTCTCCCGTTTGGCTCTAGTCAGTCAGGTCTCCCATCTGGCTCTAGTCAGTCAGGTCTCCCGTTTGGCTCTAGTCAGTCAGGTCTCCCGTTTGGCTCTAGTCAGTCAGGTCTCCCATCTGGCTCTAATCAGTCAGGTCTCCCATCTGGCTCTAGTCAGTCAGGTCTCCCGTTTGGCTCTAGTCAGTCAGGTCTCCCGTTTGGCTCTAGTCAGTCAGGTCTCCCGTTTGGCTCTAGTCAGTCAGGTCTCCCGTTTGGCTCTAGTCAGTCAGGTCTCCCGTTTGGCTCTAGTCAGTCAGGTCTCCCATCTGGCTCTAGTCAGTCAGGTCTCCCGTTTGGCTCTAGTCAGTCAGGTCTCCCATCTGGCTCTAATCAGTCAGGTCTCCCGTTTGGCTCTAGTCAGTCAGGTCTCCCGTCTGGCTCTAGTCAGTCAGGTCTCCCGTTTGGCTCTAGTCAGTCAGGTCTCCCGTTTGGCTCTAGTCAGTCAGGTCTCCCGTTTGGCTCTAGTCAGTCAGGTCTCCCGTTTGGCTCTAGTCAGTCAGGTCTCCCGTTTGGCTCTAATCAGTCAGGTCTCTCATTTGGCTCTAATCCATCAGGTTTCTTATTTGGCTCTAGTCACTCAAGTTTCTCAGATGGCTCTTCTAAAGTAAAAGCAACATTTCCAAGGCGTAAATGATCTGCCAGCCTCTGCAGAAAGTACCAACCAGTTCACCTCTGGGCAGCATTACTGGGAGATAGATGTTGGACAAAGGAATTATTGGGAACTAGGGGTAAAAATTAATTTCCTGTGATGTGATGGCACAAAATATGTTGCCTGCAGTCAAAATACATCTACAGCTCTAACATTTGCACCTCGAAAAATTGGGATTTACCTGAACTGCTCCTCTAAGGAGCTCTCCTTCTATGTAGCAGACTACACGACACACGTTCACACTGTGAGCTCTAGTGATATGTCCATGCCAGTGTCAGCATATTTTAATGTTGATTACAATGATCAAGTTCATACCCCTCTGGCGGTGTGCTGGTACTGAAGTCAGAATTTGAAATGATGTAGAGTACGGAAATATAATTTTATTTCTTGAATGAAATAGAGATAATGAAGTCAAGCGTCTGACTTTAGACTGCAGTGTTTCCTACATTCATTCAAGACAAAAAGCTGACAGTGACAGTTCTTCACTGCATCCGTTTACTGTTTTCTGTTCTGTATCCACTATAAAGTTTGTGTTTATGCAGCAGTAGTTTTGAAAAGGTGACTTGAGAAATGTGTATTCAAGGCAATAATATATTGATCACTTGTAAGTTTAGCTCATTACAAATGCAGCACGTACGCATACTACTGTATGGCTGTAAAGTGTAAAATAATACACCACAATAATGATACAGGAAAGAAATGTATTGCAGTGGTGGTGAACTAGTAATTAAGGTAAAAATGTTTAAATCAGGAGAAATGCTTGTAATCTCATGTCACATTGATTCAGTCACCTGTATATTTTCAAATAAACAATATAAACTTGTGCAGATATGTAGTATCAGCATAATGAGGACTGAGCATATGATAAGCAATCGCATAATAATTGATGTTTTTTGCTCTCTTTAACCTTTCTGTGTCTGTATATATATACTTGTGTTACTGCTAGGGTTACATGCATCAACAATAAAATTATGCAGAGTAAGATTGAAGATTGAAACCCTGTTGGTAGAACTGTGCCAAAAAATACTATAAAAGATGTGACAGCTGTGTTTAGATGTTTTGTGGTGGAGGTACCCTGTTGTTTGTATATAATTAAATCATCTATTGTGTGTTTTTACAAGATATTATAATATTGAAATTTGTAAAAACAAGTAATAAAATAAAAATAACAATGCCATTTCTATGTTTGTGTTAATTTCTCTAAAGTATGCCTACTATCAAAGTTACAGTGGCTGAGAGAGCTTAACGCACTGCAACTTACTGTAAGAAAAAGCAAGCAGATATGCAAAACACAAACAAATAAAGAATAGGTCTTCATTACTTTGACAGCACATACGCTACATTTAGAAATAATATTCTGCTAGGCATCACACAAAGCCATAAAGATACACACTGCAAATATAAAAAACAAACAGAGCTGATGTTCTTATGACCTTCTCTCAACCTAAGGAAAAATACTGAACTAATGCATGTAACATAATTAGGCAAGTGACATAACATTAAGGGAAAAAAATGCATACTATATATATGCAAACAAGAAAAGTAACATTTCAACAAAAAGAGTTAATTTGACATCATGAATTGAATGTGATTTCTTGAATGTGATTTCAAAATGTTCAAAAGACATTCAAGATTCATTAAAAAGGAAGATAAAGATTGTTTAGCAAAGATGGGTAATAGGCTACTATCAAGTTGTTTATTTCAACCAGTTTGAATATTACTTACTCTTGTTTACCATACCGATAAACCTGAACTGTTTCCCTAAAATTAACTGAACAATTGAATTGGGGAAAATATAACCCATCTTAGATTTGATATTGTCTATATTGATAAAAAAAATTACAAAAAAAATTATTTTCCATGTGTATTGCAAGAGAGCCCATAAGCTGTGGTGTGGATAGTAATATGTACACTTACATGGCAAACAAAAAAGGCTATTGAATCATACTGCAGCATTTCTTATTAATTTATGTGACATTTAGTGTAAGGTAGCACAAGCCACGCAATAAATAAATGAGCTGTTTTATGTTGTAATGGAACCTTCGTTTATCATAAATAAATACATAAATATGGTCAGTGTATAATGAGTGACAAAGTGTTGCTGTTAGCAGGTTCTAACGTTGATCCCGAGATGTGTATGAAGGGTTTTGGATGCATTAGTGCATTTTGGATGTGAGATGAACTGTTATCGGTAAAAAGAGTTGTTATGAAGAGTTCTGACAAAGTGAACTCAGAATTTGATCTCGTCCAACCAGCAATTTCGACATCTGACTACTAGAGTGTGATATTACATTTAGCCTTTCCATGTAAGTTTGACTGAGCCTTAATCCTAAGCAAGGTAAATGATTAGAGACCGTATTTGTGACCTGTAAATGTGTCGTGGTTCTGATTTGTTATGTTGTGTAATTATCTGGCCATGAGAACTCGGAATGACTTCTGCAGTGCGTGACACATGGCGGGGTGTGGCTTTTCCACGAAAGTGAAACTGACGGTTCAACATAACACCAAGTCAGCCTGGCACCATGGCGTCTGCGTTTTACTCAGAAGATTTGACTTGTGGTATATGCGCGACCATCTTCACTGATCCGGTGACTCTCCTCTGCGGACACTCTTTCTGCAGAGAGTGCATCACACATGTTCTGAGTTTACAGCAGCAGTGTCCACAGTGTCGGACAGCTGTTCCAACAGAAGCGAAATCTCTTCCAACCAGCCATATATTGAAAAGCCTCGCTGAAAAGGCTAAACAAGCAGAGAAGATCAAGAAAGAGCATGGAGATGAGAAAGCAGAGGTAATGTATGTTTGGGTATTCGTAAGGCAGTGTAGTCAATCACGTGTGCATATTATCGCAAGCTACAGATGTTAATCATTTCTGGACTTTGTGCGGATTTTATATTTATCCTGTATAGCAAACACATAGTAGCTATAGGTAAGCTGTCATGTTTTAATCTTATATATTGTACTTTATAATATATTCAAGTCACACTAAACTTTAAAATATAGGCTTGCCCTCAGTGTCAGTCGCCCAAAGTGCGTCATTAGGCCTTTAGGCTGTATGGACAATTTTAATGCCTGTATCACTAAAACAAATGTCAGTGTGTTTAAACCCCATAATGTGTAGGCTCTGGTGTTTGAGAGGTGAATTGTTCAGTGATTGTGGCGTGCACACCCAGTGCTAGACTGAAAATAATTCCTGGCATACTTAATAAAAACACAGTGAGCATCAGTTCTGCTGATGCTGGACCTCACACAGGAAGGGAACTCCTTTATTGACATAAAGGCCTACTCATCACATATCACATGACACTCGCATCTCATTGGCTGTTATCACTGTCCCACATCACACAGTACCTGCATTAACTCAAGTTTGCCTCTGACATTAATAAGAGTAAGGAATGATTTTCAAAACTGACCACATTTTTCATACAGAAAATTAACACAGAAACATGAACAAACATTATCACTTGAATATGAAGAGTTCTGAGTCATTTCTAAGACTTCTGTATTGTGTTGCAGAGATGTAGACATGCCAGCTATCTCTGGCTCGACCAGCGTAATACCGCTTAGAAAGATTTTATAACAAATCAGCACTTCTGTCCACACTCCCTCTCTCTCGCTCAATCAGATGAGCCCTCAATAAAAAAATAAAATAAAAACATGTACAGAAGAATTGTGATCTCTCTCTGCATCACACTTCTTATCAATCAGTTTTTTTTATAATGCCTGATTTTCAGCACCCATACCTTCTTTGTAAATGTCTCTACACATCGAGTGAAATAACATTTCTTAAGTGGGTGAATTATTTAATTCTTCCATGTCAGTCAGGGGCCCGTTGGACTGCAGGGCCTATTAACTTGAAACAGGTGAAACATAGCCGAGGCCGCCACTGACAGTTTGTAGTCTGCTAAACATGTCAGTGTCTTATTCTAATGTAAAGCTCTGTATTTGTATAGCGCCTTTCTAGTCTTTTCGACCACTCAAAGCGCCTTTACACTGAGCCTAAGTGCTCAAACAGAAACTATCATTCACACACATTCATACACTGGCGGAACAGCCATCAGGGGCAATTCGGGTGCCGCCCCATCTAACGTTCTAAACGTTAACACAAGCTGTTAGGTGCATGCAGTTGTCCAGGGTACATCCACATATCCAGGTTAGGGACACTGCCTTAAAAACTAAAATTCTATTGTATAATTAAGTAAAATTGCACGGTACAGGTGAAATAAAAAAGGGGGAAGTGAAAAAATGATTGTTGATGTTGCAGAGTGCTACATTATGTCGTTGGGTTGTAGTCTTGACAGCTGCTGGAATGAAGGACCTGCACTGTGTGTGCAGCAGACGTTCGCTGAAGGAGCTGCCCAGGGACTTCACAGTCTCATGCAGGTGGTGAGAGGTGTTGTCCATTGTTGACATCAGCTTGGCTAACAACCTCCTCTCACCCACCTCCTCTGTGGTCTCTAGAGGGCAGTCCAGGATAGAGCCAGCCCTCTTAACCAGTTTATTTAGTCTCTTCTTGTCCCTCTCTTTGCTCCCCAACAGACTGCATAGAAGGTAGCTGATGCCAGCACAGTTTCATAGAATCATTTAACAGTGTCATGCAAACACCAAAGGTACGGGCGACTTTGGCCATTCTTCTAACAGGAATGCTTTGTGACTTCCTCTTATTTTTAATTTTTAATTTTTTTTTACAGGTGGCTGAGTTGTGCCCTGAGCATGAAGAAAAGCTGAAACTGTTCTGCATCACAGATCAGCAGTTAACGTGTATTATATGCCGAGATGGGGAGAAGCATGAAGGACACAAGTTTAAACCAATCAAAGAAGCAGCTGCATCTCTGAGACAAGAGCTGGAGAAGGGGATGGAGAACCTTTGTGAAGATATCCTTACTACAGAGAGCCTAGCCAACACACAGAGGGAAGAAATGACCAAAACCAAAGAGAAGTCTCAGCAGCTGAAGACCCAAATCCACAGAGAGTTTGAGGAGATGCACCAGTTTCTGAGGAAGAGAGAGGATGAGATTAAGAATGAGCTGAAACACAAAGAGGAAGATGCTGTTGAGAAAATGAGCAAGACCTTAAACGCTATAGAAACAGCTTTGTCTGAGAGCAGAGAACGGCAGGGGAAGGTCACATCAGTTCTGGAAATTACAGACTCAGACAGGCTCTTAAAGAGCTGGACTGAGGGTAACAGTATGATGACTCCAGAACATTTCTTCAGGCCCAGAGCAAATGATCTCCAAGTGGTGAATGATTCTCTCTCTTTGGGGCCTTATGAAAGCCACCTGCAGTTCTTTGTGTGGAAGGAGATGCTTCAGGTGATCCAGCCCAGAGCAGAGCTGCTGTCACTCAAAAGCAACAGCAAAGATATAACAGTGTCTGGTGATGGGCGGAGTTTGTTTTGTAGTCCAAAAAGCAACCGAGCTCAAACAGATTCCTTTAATTTTGGCGCTGGATTATACGACCCAGCCCCAAAATACAATTTCGGTGCTGCTTTTAATAGCCGAGCATATCCTGAGCAGTATAGGGACAAGTCTTCCTTATGCACAAACTATACATTCAGTGTCAGTGAGTTCACATCAGGGCAGCATTACTGGGAAATAGAGGTTGGACACAGGGACTATTGGGAACTAGGAGTAAAAGATCATTTCCTGAAATATGATGGCCAAAAATATTCCACCTGTACTCCAAACATAACCACAGAACTAACATTTGGAGACAAGCCTCGAAAGATTGGGATTTACCTTAACTGCTCATCCAAGAAGCTCTCCTTCTATGATGCAGACAACATGACACATATTCACACTGTGAGCTCTAAGCTCATGTCCATGCCATTGTCAGCATATTTTAACATTAGATCCAGAAAAGCAGATCCTAACCCTCTGACAGTGTGCTGGTACTGAAGTTAAGATAAACATCATAGCAGGTACTTAACTAAAAGATTTAAAAAGTAGGTTCTGAATTTACCAAAACAAAAACAGCATATGGCCCTTTTCAACCAAAAACGTTCCAGGATTTTTTGAACCAGAAGAACTAATATTAGGAACTAAATTAAGAAGCAGATTCCCCAATAAAAGAAGAATTAAAAGTTTGAAACAACAATTTTTCTATATTAGGATAAAACACAGAATGACTCTGTTGTTCTTTGTCTTTACTGTTGTGTTTATGTTGTATTTTAT